TGAACATGAACTCGAGATTATATATTTTATTACGTAAAAAAATGATAGAATTATTAACATTATTTATTAATATTTGCATATATATTACGATGGTATATGTTTTTTAATAAAAAAATTAGGAAATTGACTATCAAATCTAGCCCATAAATAACTAGACAGAGTTTGAATATTTTAGCAATAAATTCAATTGGATTTTTTTTTTTAAAAAAAAAAAAGTTCATTGAGATCAAACTTATTAAATTATCGATATTTAAATTTTAAATCAAATATTGATATGCATCATATTTTAGGATTACTATATTTAGTATTACCTAAACTATATAAGATTAAGTCAACATTAACCTCATTTATTATAATTAATGGAGTCAAAATTATTAAATCTGTGGAGATTTGATCATTTAACAAACTTAATTAATTATTTAACTTAACCTTTTTAGTAAAAAAAATTGAAAATTAAGGAGGAGAAAAATTAATAAAAAAAAATATTTATATAGACAAAATTATTAATTTTCTATTTTTGGAGAGGTAAGAGTTTCCATAGTCATTTTTCTTTTTCCCTTTAAGCCTAAAAGAAAATTTTTTTAAAAAAAGGATAAAGAAAATAACAAAGATATAAAAATAAATAAATTAAAAATTAAAAAAATGTGAAAAAACCAGTCCGTAATCAAAATAAACAGACTCGTTTATTTTGGGCCCACTCACATTCTGTGGGCCTAATAGCGAAACAAAATTAGGCCCACAATATAAATTATAAACCAATTGCGTGTGAGCCGTCGGATTAAAATAATCATACGAAGAACATCATCAGACCACAGTGGCTGCCGAAGTAGAGGATCCAAATCCCAATCAACCAAAATAAAAAAGTGATTCTGGAACCAAACTCCTCGGTGGAACCAAAATAAAAAAGTGCTGTGCGACTGTCAGTTCACAATTTGATCTTCATTTCGGTAGGTTCAAACTTTTTGTGAAGTTCATACAGTCTAATTAGATGTAATAATGTTGTTTTCTGTGCTATGTTTGATCTGTTTGAGTGATGAATGATTTTGTTGAATGTGTTATTTTCCTGCGTTGTAATGGATTTAATATATTTCATTGGATTGGACTCTATCTGGTGAAATTGCATTGCACAATAAATGTTCGATGAAATGCTCGAGTTAATGTTTTGTTTATTTTACCTAAGGACCTACGGTCGCTGGTGTAGTTCTGTAACATGCTAAAATCAGTTGAATTGTAAAGTTAATAATGTATATACGAAAGGGATGAGGGATATGAGGATTACAAACATGTGAAGATATTTTTAGACTTAGATTAAGATGTCCGTTGTTGTTGTTGTTTTTTTTTTTTAATATATAGATAGTATTATCTGACTGAAACAAAAAATGTAGAAAGGGACTGCGTGTTTTTAACACTTGCATTAGTATTGGAGTAAATATTTAAGTTAAAAATGCCAATTCTAGTCCCTGTTTCTATCATAAACTGAAATTCAGGTATGAACTCAGAAGTGATCATTATTCTTCTTCAATATTCACTTTATTCATGCAAGGTGTTATGAGCTGTAGAGGTTCGAAATGGTAAAGTTTAAGTGCCTTGAAAAATGTGGTTTCAAATGAATGATTCGAAACTTTCTTTTTAGAAATATTTTAGAGTTAATTTGCTAATTAAGCCCTGAGTAACTATTTTACATCCCAAAATAGTTGACTTTCACCTTCTTGTTCTGTGTATTTTTTTGATCTATAGACTAATGTCAGATTTGGCTATCCAACTCTTCAGTTTGATTAATTGTAAGTTATGAATTTATCTGAAATTTTGTTAAGCGCCTCAATCACAGTTGCCACAGTTTAGTGACTCGTCTTTCCCCTTTGGTGATGAAGGGAATATAAGATCTTTGATTCAGTCTTCCTATTTATATTCTGTTGGTTCTTCCCTTAGAAAATCTTTGTTGTTTCCAATCTTTTTTGCTACTGATTGTGTAGTTTTCTTTTCTTTGTTATAACTTATTTTAACTGTCTTCTGACTCTTCGTGAAAGTTCCTTAACTAAAAGAACTGTAGTATTCCCTTTATAACTACCTCTTCCTATTCTCAATCTGTTCTCAGTCGTCTTACTTCCCAGCAACTTCAAGGTCTTAGTTGCCATTTGTTTCCACAAATGGGAACCATTTCACTTACTACAATTCAACAAGACTCCAAAGCCTTGAACCTGAAATACATTGAATGAAATAAAACTCAAATTTTGAATAGGTTCTGCCTAGTTTTATCAGGATTTTTTTTGGCTGACAGCCCCAATTAATTAAGGAAAATTTTCCTAAAACTGCGGAGTGTAATTCCCATCTATTTAAAGCGTTATTCCTTCTCCTTTCTTTTCTTCTTGTGTGTTCTCTGTTTTCAGGCTCTCTTTTTGGTTCAAGAGGGAGGCCAAGAATGAAGATAGCTATTTGTTAGAAAAGATTTCTTGTGATCTTCTTCAGCTGCCCTGTAAAACTTGGTATTTTTTTATTTCTTTGAATGGGTCCTTATTTCTTTGAATGCGAGAGAAACTGAAACCTCAAAGATGTCATGTAGTTCGTTCTTTCAGTATATCAATCCACTTTCAGATTTTGTAGCTACGGAAATAGTGAAAGCTCGTTTTTTATATGGCGTGATAGTCTTTGTAGAAACTTCTGTTAGTTGATTAGAACCGGTAATCTACAATTGATTACGATAGGTGATGTTCTCTAGCTAGTTAAATGTGGATGTTCTGTTGCGTGAAAGTTGTCACATATGACATTTATAGGCACGTTTCTGTTTGTTAAATTTTTATGGATGAATGACTTTCTATCCTGGTATAATTTTGTCCGAGCAAAATAGTCTTTTTAGTAGGATTAATTTATTTATGCTGATTATTTTATATGGCATAGGGAAAATTCCAATTCATGTTATAATTCTTTGACATCCATGGGGTGGGGTTGGTGAAGCAGCCAAAAGGATATCCTTGTGGAGCAGGGATGGATGGGATTGATATCCACCCCAAAACCAAGGATGCAGTGACGTGGGGGTGGGGGTGGGGGTGGGGACCCTACCACAAACAACAATTGCCATCCTTGTGCACTGGCATGTTCTTATTTGATTGCTCACAAGCTATCCTGTTAATGTGCTTAATCAGGAAAAGAAGATATTTATGTCAGCATTAAGGAGAGAAAATGAAGTTGAAGGTAGTGTGTAGAAAAGTGTATAATTACATTCGATATGATCTTAAAGAAATTGCTTTTCCTTCATCTCTGCCTGATCCTCCTCACATTAAAAAGCGCCGCAAATTGACTTGGCATGAGAGATTTTTGGTAAGCATTTTGCTTGGTTTCTGTATTATGTAACATAAAGTGCTTGCTCTATCTGTTTTAAAATGGTATTGACTATTTAATCAATTGTTTTCATTCTCTAATAATTTGTTACAAATGGATTGTGAATTTTTCCATAAACTGTAATTAATTATTCAAGTGCTAGATCAGTTTCCTCCTGAGGATTGTGGAAATTTAATTTTTCATGTTTTTGGGTACTGGATTCCTATTATTTCCACCCTGATCATTGTGTCATGGATTTCAATTTACATCATCTCTGTAGTTTTTGGGTGGGCTATTGCAAATTTTCTTTGACAAAAAGAACAATGATGTAGCAGCTGGAAATAGATGGGTCTGAACTTTAGATTGTAATGTGAACAGACGAAGCAACACCCATGCAGTTAGTTGCTTGTTTTTCAAGGGGCAATCTACTGACTGTAATATGTAACTTTTCTTTCTGTGATTTTGCTTGGTTTCATTGAAAGCCTATCCATTAACCTAGTATTTGGATTTATCCTGAAACGATTAAATCTGTTCCTTACATATACACACTTCTATACCTTTTCCTTCTAAGAAATATGTAGACACACCATTCTGGGCACTAATTATCAAGTCTATGCACGTGCATGGTTGCTTTTTTCCGTTAGGTGTTGAAGGAGGCATCAAGGCTTTATGCTGCAAGCTGGGTACGGGATATTGGTCCTGATCTTCGCCCAAATGACTATAAGAAGGATGAAGGACCTGAGGATAAACCAACTGGGTCTAATAATACAACTAAAGAGAAAGAACCCTCAACGTTGGAAGATCTTGGTACAAAAAGCTTTTTTCATTTGCTTGATAACCATTCTGTAGTTATAGATTTTATTATTTTGATGTAGTCCTTAAGATGAACTGTGAAGTTGTTATAGTGTTCAGAAAAACAAAGTGGCAATAATCAATAATCTTTCAAAGGATAGTGGTGTAATCATTAAAAAAGGTCATGAAGAGTGCAGTACCTCTAATAATTAATCAGTTTCAATAATGAAAATGAGGTTCCCCTCTGAAAGGAAAGTAATGAAAATGAGGTAAACAATAGAATTTATTGAATTCAGATGACTAAAGGTGAAAAAACTAATATGTGAATTTGAGAAGAATGTAGATATAGAATACCAAGTGAACTTTTGTGGGTTTCTTTAAATACTTCTTAATAACTTTAGGGTTTTTTAATGTGATCGATGCCATATGGAAAGATTTATGTTTAATTTCATGGAGAACAACAAAGATCTCAGAAGGTGCTTATGTTCAGTTTGAAGAACACTTTTCTTATGTTAATACTGTTGATCAACTCAATCGACAAAGTGTTGCATTACAGCTTCTTTTGTCAACTCTCTTTCAATACCTTTTGTACATTGTGATCTTATTTACATTGAAATTAAATCAACAGCTGTAGCTGCAAGAGGTGGCATGGAGACATTGAGACCTGCTTTGCAGCGAGTGTACATGACTAGAGTCTCTGCATATAAAGATGCTCTTAAAAGCTTTATAGAAGGATATCAGGAAGGTGTGCAGCAAGTTATGGAAAAGAAAGAAGATTCCAAAACAGAAAAAGAAGGGGATACATCCAAAATATCAAGTTGACCACATGTTAGTCTAGGAGGCAAATTTTTGTGAGTTCTTTATAATATCTACCGTTGGTAGAGCTTTCTTAGCACAATAATCATATCTTTTGAGGTTTATCATTCTATAGAAGAACAGGAAAACTGCCAATATATTGGAAAATATTTTGTATACATGACTTCTTTTTAGAGTTTTCCATAGCCAGTATCTAATCTTTTCCTGCTGTTAAGATTTGTTATATCAATTTGTTTTTATGTTTATTGCTTCTTCTTGCTTTATTGTTTATGCTTTGGTGGCTACCACCATCTTATTTATTTCTAAAAGTGATGAATGCCATTGCCTTATTATTGTCTTTATGTTCAATGTGCAATCTCGGTAATGTCTTAACTGCTGTCAGCTATCAAACAGTTGAAGTTTTTGGTTGCACTAACAAGTTTTCCTTAAATGATATTCTTATACTATAAGGTGCACGAAACGAAATGCACCCTGAGAACTTCTATATGAATTTCTGTTCTGTGCTTCATGTTAGTTTGCTTATTTGTTTGAAAATGAGAACGAGATATTCCTGGTTTTGTTACGATGATTTCATCAACATATCACTGCAAGATTTCTTCTCTGCTTCTCCAATGTGGGCATAACTTTTTATCCCTCTCAAGGTTCCTGGGATTCTAGCTGGCTGAACTGTGTTTTTAGTTGACTTATGCAGCATAATGCTGTTATTGGATTATGGGGAAGTTGTTTGATGAACCAATTTGGGTCATAAGATGGAAGGGTGTTCTGACTATGCAATAGTGGGAATCGCAGCCTGGTTCTACAGTATAGGCAGAAGATAGAAAACACCTCCATATTGTGAAAGGTTGTGGTGCAAGGCCCCAAAATTAGGTCTATTATTATGGAATAAGCAGAACTTTTGCAGTACTACAGTTAAACTGGGGACAAACTTTCAAGGGTGATCAAGAGAGATTTTAAGGGACATATTGCTCTTGCTATTTTTGGAAAGAGTATCTAGTTCTACGGCCCAGGGACACTGTTATGGCCCCCTATCTGTCAGGTGGTATCTTTGTGGGGTTCTGGCAATTGGTTGCTTTCTCAAGACTGATTTTTCTTTTGATTCCTTCAAGCACATGGGTAGTATAAGTCTTCACATCCGTGATCAACAGTCCATATCTTTTCCAAATTGTAAATGCCATTTTAGATGGGAGCCTCGAGAAATTGTTTGTTTTGTTAGTTTTTCATACTGTTTGCTTATCAAAGATGAATATTTGTTTTCAAGAAGCTACTGATTGGAAATTTAGGTGTTTTTTGGTGATTAGTGTACTTATAGTACAGAATATAGATGATTTTCTTTCTTCAAAGCTCATATTTTTCTATTTGTTTCCTTCCAAAACTTTAGGATCTCAAGCTAATGTTTGATGATAGGGATGGCCTAACAAACAGGGCCAATTCGAAACAAAAATTAATGATTGATTTATTCCTTAGCAAGAGGATCTTTGTTCTCAAGTAGATGCACAGGGAGATGACGTAGGACAATTAGGGTTCTTAGACATCACATTTAACAGTTGATTGAATTACACAATCAATCATGAGAAATTTTTTAAGTTATTATTGAATAATTGAGTGTCCCGGTAAGTGAAATTACAAGTTATTTATAATAATTGTTAAATAACTTCTCCTAAATAAAATTAAAATAAGAAATAATAGATTAGTATAATTGTAAATACCAATCCTAACGAGAATAAGAAACTAATACTAATAATATTGTGAATACTAACAAGAAAATAAATTCTAAATCACTAAAATTATAATAATATTTTTAAATAATATAATAATATATTTTTAAATAATATAATTGTTTTATATTTAATATAATTATAATTTTTAATTTATTTAGAAACTCTAGTGCTAACCCATTCTGCATCGGAGAGGACATATTGGCCAGAGTTCTAAAAGCAAAGAGCTTGGCAAGATGAAAGGTAAATGGGAGCAAAAATACTTGCATGGTATTTCTATATCTGTACTGCACTTGGTTATGCATGACTGAATTATTCTTACAGGCTAGCCAATAAGACAGAGGAAGACCCTTCATTCCCTCGACAAGCCACTATCTTACAGCCAGTAATAACAACAGATATCTGGGGACCCTTCCACTTGCAAATCCACTAAACATTGGACGTAAATGACAATCGGAGATCAATGGGTAACTTTCTTGTCTTAATCTTTATGGGCCCTGAGAATCATTCCGATACTGTGTATGATTATCCGCAAAGGTATGAATGTCTTTGGACATCTTGTCACGAAATGCTGCTGCCTAAATTGAGCACTTAATTTGCCTGCATGGTGGATCAAAGATGTGTACATTAAGCAAATCCCATAAGCATATCTATGCGGATCTGCAGAGGGTAACCAATCCAAGGTTTGTAAAAACCTGTAAAGACATAGGTTACATATAATAGTTAGCCAAACTTCCAAGTTTTCATGTATAAAAGGAAATTTGTTGTTTTGGATTATTGAAAATCTGCATGTAAGTGATTGATATATATATATATATATTAAAATTTAGTGAAGGTGATGAAGAGCTGATATAGTCAAACCTAGTAATGCATCTGTCAGTTGGCAGCACGTTGGATTGCATGGACTATCATCAAGGGCATTTGATTGGTTGTTTATTTCAAAGAAAAGGCATTGGATTGGCTGTGGGTTGTGGCTGCATTGGATCATGAAGTGCATGTCAATTGGTTGTGGTGCATCTATTGTTTTATTCGTATCTCTTTCTGAGATTTCCTTAATCTGATGAATTCATAACAGCCATGAAAATTTTTTTATGCAAGGATCTTATTTCTTCATAAGTCCTGAGAATATTGATTGATTCCTATTGAGAATTCCACAGGTGGGGAGCCCACTATTGTGATGATGCTAGGAAAAAGGTTCTTTTAGAATTTCCTCAGAAACCAAAATCATGTTGGGAAAAGTTGATTACTACAAAAATAAGGTCTTAGATACGACAAACTGGAATGTAATGATTTATAAAGACGACCCTGATATGGAATTTAAGCCTTAGTTAATTTGATTTGCCATTTTATTTGCAGCAAATTCCCTGAAAGTGACATAATTTGATTTTATTATAAGTCATCTGCTAGTTCATTGCTAAGGTTTCTCTTTCTGGGTTGGAACTAATAATGTCATCTAGCTTTCTAGTGGTCACTGGTAATATATTTGATAGTTATTATCCGATAGGTCAGAAGGAAATGAAATTGATCTTCTGGTATTTTTCCTGTTCAATATGGCAGGATTGCTTTATATTGGGGTCCCTACTTTCATGGGCTGAAGCTTGAACCAGACCTTGATACCAAGAAGGTATTGGCAAGAACTAGACAGTAATCAACCCATACGAGAACAGACGCCCATACTGGTGTGTCTCAAGGTAAATTCGATATGGAATCAAACTGCTAACAGAAGCAGCCTAGCTTTGGTTACACTAGACCCTGATTTCTTCAACTATGACAGTACTATATTTTCTTCCACTGTTAGGTTTATGAAATCAAAATTCAAATATTCAACCACTAGATTCAGAGAAATCTAAGCATGTGGCGCCAGTGGTATGATGGGTTTCTGTCGTTCTGTTTATCGCCAGTGTTTTTCTTAGGGAGGAGAGAAATGGCACCTGATTTCTTTTCCACCATTAAAATGACTCCTAGCACAGAGTTAGACTGAAGAACCCTTTTTTTTTTTCTCCCATACAATTTTACCATGCTGATCTGGTTATATGACCATTTGTCTACTCGGACACTTCTTTGTTAATCCATTTGAATGTATCTCCTGCAAGTTGCAGCTTTTCTTTTCACTTCTTATTTCTTTTTTGAACGATAAATTCCATGACTCTATGAGCGTGACTCTTGAGAATTCCCATTGGGACCACATTTTTTCATTCTGATGAAGTAAAACACCATCATCATCATTTCTTGTAGGCAAAACAAATGTGGGTTAAAGATTTTCTGTCTGAGGTTTCTTGCAACAAAAAAATTACAATAATAAATTAGTAAAAGAAAGCCAAAAAAAAAAAAGAAAGAGCTTGAAACTTTTCTCTGTTTTCTTCTGAGCTTTTCTTTTACTGTGCAGGTTACAGTAGAGGAAAGAAGAGAGCTTTTTGGCTTTGTTCATGTGGCCATAGATATTACTAGAAAAGCTAGGAGTGGGACGATGATACTGGACTGGACACTGTAAGGGCTGTCAACCATCAATTCAATTCAAGATTACCCACTACACCCACCCACCCACTCCACCATTTTACCACCACCATACCCCCATACCCTTCCATTATTATTATTTGCTTCTCTCTTCTTCCCTTCTCCTATCAAAAATCTCCACTCAGAATCTCAACAGTTCCCAAATAGATTCCCCCAAAACCAAACCAACCCATCATTTTTTCCTTTTTTTTTTTTTCTAAAAATACATATTTTCATCGTGGGAGAATGGAGGACGCTGCTGATTTGATCATTGAAACTATTTGCTTTAGGGGTCCCCCCTCCCCACTCCCCCCCCACCATTCCCCCTATTTCTCCCTCTTTAGTCACTTTCTCGCTCTCATCGCTGTCCAATCCTCTCCCTCTCCTGCCTCTTGGAAAGTTTGCCTATATATCTGGGATTTCCTCCCTTTATATATATATATATGTTCTCTTTTTTTCATAAACATATATAGTAGCTGATACATATATATTTCTTTATTCTATTCTCTCTCTCTCTGTCTCCTGAACTTTCCAAGTGAGAGGATGAATTACGTCAAATCCATGGGGTCACATCGACAGATCTTATCCTCGGCGATTGCTCGTCTGATTGACATCTCGGGGGTAAGTGATATCCTGTTACAACCCATATTAATCAATCTATACCACTCTTCATAATTCTTCACATACATAAAAATTTCTCTACATATTCTACAGTTTATTAGTGTAGAAAGAAAGAAAAAAGAATATCTCCCCCACCCAACTCTTATGACCACCTCCTTAGTTGACTAAAACCCTTCAATTATTTTTCTTGGACTCTCCTAATTATTGCCCTTCTATGCCACCCTGCCTCCAATTTTTCTCCTCCTCTCATGTCTTCTCACGTGTTGAAATTTTGAGGAACCCAATATTCACATACATGCATACATACATACATACATACATACATTGACATATATAAAACATATATGAAGATTATTCGCTAATACTATATTAAGATTATGATACCTCTATTAATTAATTAATTAATTAGTGAAACACGTTTTTTGGTTATAATCCATTTGATAAAGACTCGTGTTCCTACAGTATCTAAGAACGTGGACAGAATCCACAACTGCTGGAGACGTTTCATTGAAATTTAAGTGAAAAATAGTTAATCGAGAAGGTAATAAATTAATAAATATTATTAAAAATTAAAAAGCAAAAGTATTTAGCACCTGAGCCACCTGATTACTATTCTTTTAATTTAGCCATGTGCAAAGGTGGTCAGCCTGCTCTGTCGCAGTAATTCGTATTACCAATTAAACTATGCACTTCCTTTTATTAATCTATCTCATTATGAATATCAAGATGATTAAGCAACTGGACTTGGTCAAATCTTATCTTTCTAACCCCGCCCTTCAGTTCTAAATTTATTGATGATTATACAAAACTTTGATTAATTAATTAATATTATAACGAACACGTACCATGTAGGAAGGAGAAGAATATGGTTGAGCGTATAAGGGGAGGTGGGCTGGGCCGTGGCTCGACACTGACGAGCCATCAGGTGTGGATGGTTCGGACTCATCCAGCTGGCACTCCAAGTTTACTCCAAACAGCCTCAGCCTTTTCGAGTTCCCTACAACCGGTGTCTGCCCCTGAATAACGCCTCCTGTAAATTTTCAACGCCAAATAAAAAAAAAATCACGTAAAAATTTACATTACATTTTACATTTTTATTATACAATTAAAATTATACAATAAACCAAAAAAAAAAAAAACGAGAAATACACCGACCCATCTCCAGGTACCATTGCGTTCATTGAATTTAGCGAGTGTTACCACGCGCCATTAGCTGGCAGATTGCTCCCGACTGATTGGTATGTGTCGGTGACGCACAGCGTGCGCGAATGGGATTATCTTTCTTACGCTCGCGAACAGGTACATTACATGCCCAATTCAAAACTATCTAGTTTTTCCCTTTTATTTTTTGTTTTTTCACGGAGAGAGAGATCAAATGTAATGTAATAGTCTAATGATGGTAAGTCAGCAAATATACCTGCACGGAGAGAGTCAATCCGGTACGGCACCGTATTAGGCCCTATGCCCTGGATACCACTGTGTCCAGAATGATAAGGCGCCAATCCTTGCCTATTCCACCCACCAGTACCACCGCTACTATACGCTGGCGTATTGCCGCAGTCCTGCGCCGAAGGCAGGGGTAAGGAGCTGCGGCGGCGCCACCCAATGAAAAGCCTCTCGGTTTCCGAACGGTGACGTAGGAAGAAAACGACGTCGCCGGCGTCGAGCTGCTTCTCCTTCACGTACCTACTCCAGCCTTTAGTGAGGACGTAGCTCTGGCTGCTGTTCCAGTAGGAGTAACGAAACCTCCAGCACTTTCCCAACTCGTCCTCGAAACTCAGAAGCAGGCCCTTTTCCCCCGAGTCACCTCCGCTGAGTGGGAAGTACTTCTCGGCGTGCTGTTTGGGTATGACCAGGCGGTTGAGCTTTCCCACGTCGCTTGGAGTCAAGGGTTTCTCGAACAAGGCCTCCTTCTCCGCATCCTCTACTCTAACATGGTGGTAATTATAGTTTTGATGATCTTGGTGGGTGGTGGGAGCGTCGTCGAGGTCTTCGACGTCGTCGTTTTGAGGAGTAGGCATCATGAAGATGGAAGAGGATTCCTCTTGCGGCGGGTAGTGAAGGTTGTAGGAGGAGGCGAGCCAATTAGGTTGAACATGGTGCTGGTACCGATGATTATGATGAGAAGTAGTCCAAGAAGTGTTTTGGTGAGGAAGAAAAGGAGGGTTATGGTGGTTAGGAGATTGGTTGTTTTGGGTTGCCTCCATGTTTTGTTGCTGGTGGCACCAGAGCGTATCTTGAAGCTCTGTTGGGTAATGGTTTATGGACATTCTTGAAGAAAAAGAGAAAGAGAAAGAGGTAATATGATTATGGGTTTGATGTTGAAACTATGGGAACTATTTGATGTAGCTACCAAGATATGATAACGAGAGAGAGAAAGAGAGAGAGAGAGAGAGAGAGAAATTGTATGTAAAGAAGTACGAGAGTACTTTAAGGTTTTGCTTTGATGAAAAAACTCAATCATTATATTCATTTGTAAATCTTCTTTTTACTTTCTTCTTTATATATATATACACACACGCTGATGTGGAGTAAAAGAAAATTACTGAATTGGGCAGAACATGTGTGCGTTCGTCAAACACAGGAAGAAGCAGCAAGGTCATACTTTTATCGCCGGTGAAGTCTTCTTTTAAAATTATTTTATTTTTACAACAAACAACACAGCCCATGTTACTAACGTTGGCAAACAAATCAAGTGGTGGGACCCACACTTACGCTGCATGATCGTCTTCAAACTCCATATCCAACGGCTAATTATTAACGTAACCCTCAATTTGCTTTTATGCTCTTACCCCTTCACTTTGATGTGTCATGCATGCACATGCTCTTTTCTTCCCTTCATTAATATTTCCCTTACAATTATATTTTATATATATATGACACACACACACACACACACACACATATACTATAATTTGGATTTTAGTTATAGATAGTTTTTTTGACAAAGTGAAATAATATTACTTGTGATGTAACCTACTAGTAAAATCTAGAATTTAGCAGTAATTAAATCGAGTTCTCTTTTTTTTTTTTTTTTCCTTATGGTAAAATTAAGATTTCGTAGCGACTAAGTTATTAATTGGGATTGTTATAAATTTTTAGTGTTTTCTTAATAAAAGTGAAAATATATATATATATATATATATATTAAAATTTGAGGTAGGTTTTGCGTGTCAGAAAGAGAATATCAATTGAACAGAAGAAAGAAAAAAGGGGATGGGTGAATTTGGTTCAGAAAATTGACTAAATAGTAGAGACCTGACCCAGCAAAAGTATCAGCCTTGTGTGGTCCTATAAGGTTTGGGTATATCTATATCTATATCTATATCTATATCTATATATATATGTATGTATGTATGTATCATAGGTGAAATTTTTCTTATGGGTCTGCCAATTTGTATATATATATATATATATATATGAGAATAGTATTTTATATCACGTGCATGACAGCATTATTGGTGTTTGGCCATTCCTAGAGTTTTTCATTTTCTTTGGACAAAATTTTATTAGTTTTATTTTAAAAAAGAAATACAAAAATTAAACAAGTAAAGGATTGGGCGGGCGAGTCTGCTTAAAAAAATCCAGATGCAGAGACGATGCCTTCCCCTTTCCAACGAGCTGAAATTAATTAGAGAAATCAGATTTTTCCACGTCATCACAAAATTATTTTAATTATTTATAGATAATACAATATATATATACATATATATATACACAGAGCAATTTAGGCCTACTTTTATCTACTGAGAATTATAAAATCTTTTACAAGATAATATTTTCTCAAAGCTGTTCATTGTTGATATCAAATTAAAAAATTCAGTTCTGTAGGTGATATACTTTTATATGTTCGGTCAAATTATATATATATATATATATATATAATCTGAACCGGGTCTATATTAATTTCTGCGGGTACATGTAGTTCCGTCTCTTTCTTTAGCTCCCAGATATATATATATATATATATATGTATATATAG